CCCAATTTTCGTAACAGACTAACGAGAGATATAAAGATAGTCATAATAAATAAAATTTAGGGCTAATACCACTACAACACCCGAACTATTCGAAAAAGTCACTTGTGTCCTATTCTTTTCAATATTCCATTTCTATCATGAACTATTTTTCTGTTAATGTTGACCAACGTTGACCGTTAATATTTAACCGAAAATCCAGTCAGCGTTGACGTGGCATCTAAAGTGGAATTTTAAATTTAATTTTTATTTATAAAAAAAATAACAAAAAGGAAAACCACTTAGCCTTCTTTCCCTTCCCTCTCCCATCTCACAATCGACGGATTCAATCCCTCGATTCGACGGGAGAAGCTCAAGATTGTTGAGCCAAAATCCTCAACAAACGTCCACCATTTTTAGTTTTAACAACATCAAAAATACATACAACAGAAGTGGTTCATTTCGGATTCGGGAGACTGGAGGCGGTTCGTCGATCGTCTTTCTCCTCTCTGCTATGGTGTCTTTCCCATCGATTCCTACAGCCCTTCGCCGCTGCTCTTTCCATCGCCTCTGCTTCTGCCAAAATCTCAAGATCTGGTGTTTCGAACTCAACCTACCGGCGCCAATAACCACCTCTTCCTAGATCCATCTCTAATAAGTATTCCTTCCGCAACCGTGATGGCGAGACCACGACAAGTCGAAGGGATGCCGTTGAATCTAGGATCTTGGCACGGTGAAGAAGCACAACACAATCAACCGTTGCTCGAGGCGCAAATCTGGGTTTTTCGAGGTCGTGTAGCAAAACAAAGGACTTGATGGACACCGATTTCGTCGAGGTGGGGGAAGATTGGAAAGTTTGGGGGGCTTTGCTGTGTTCATTTCTATGGGATGAGAAGTGGTGGAAGATGAAGAGGGGTTTTTGGTGGCGAGGAAGAAGAGATTCTGCAGGGGAATTTTGGGTTGGGACTTTGCGCCAATGGAGAAGGAGAGAATCAGGCTGGCCGGCACCGGAAGAAGAATCGGGAATTTTTGGGTTGAAGTTAAAAGTTATTATTTTTTAATTTTCATAATTTAATTTTATTAGAATTTTAAGTAAAAATGATGTGGCAATGACATGGTGCCTATGTGGATGTCACATGCTTTGCCACGTCATCCTAAGTCAACAACAATTTGACCTTCATTTGGTCAACCGTTATCTTTAACGGTCAACGAAATTGCGAGGACACAAATGACAAAAAAGAACACACGAAAGGACATAAATGGAATATTGAAAAGAATAGGACATAAGTAGCATTTTGGTCATAGTTCGGGTGTTGTAGTGGTAATAGCCCTAAAATTTATAAAATAAAAAAGATACAAACGATGACTCATTAGAAATCGAACTATTGATAAGAAATCTGGTACTTCTATATGTATGTTGTTATTTATTCACGTCATTGCAAGAAAAAAATTAATTTAAAATATATCAAAATGGATGTCATTGTGTAAATTATTATTAATATCACTGTTTAAAAAAAATTATATTCTAAAATATAGGGAAATTTAAAATCCAATTGAAATCCATAAATTATGGCTAATACAATTTATTAGGTGGAAAGAAAAAATTTGGGGTTTCCCCCCCATAATTAGAATTTATCATTATAGCATTTCTTGGCCAAATCAGCTCAAGCGTTAAAAAAATACAAGGCATAGTGATGCTGATGCCAACAGCCTACCCCATATCAGAAGTGAGACACAAACCGAATTACAATAATACTTAGTATCTATAATCCGAGAAAGACTAGGAATATGCAAGATGTGTGATGAAATTCAACATTTCAACAACTAAACAAAAACACTTCTTCCCCTCAAAATGGTAGCTAAAAGCTCTGGTTGATGTGGGTTTGCATCAAAGATGCGCCTGCATCGCTCCTTCAAGATGAAAGAAATACACTAGCACTAGAGCAAACTCTCAACTAATCCCCTAACATCGCCTCTTTGAGCAATATTACAAATAATTTGCAGCATGTCATTCCACAAGCGAGGGACCTGAAATGTAGTTCTCAACACCTGTGAAACAAAGGTAATGGAAAAAGCACAATCACTAAATAAATGTTGTCATGGTTCACTTGAACCATCACAGAGAACACACACATCACCAGTGATCATTCCCAAGTTTTTCAACTTGTCTCTGGTGGTGATTCTGTCAAGTATCATTAGCCAGGTCAGAAAATGATACATAGGGAGAGTGAACTTGCCCCATAGGATCTTTCACGATTGAACAACATGCCTCTTCATTCTAATAGAATCTCAGACAGTAGATATAGAGAAACAAACCAACTTCCTTCCTTGTCAAGTGACAATCCCGTCCATGTCAGTGTCCATTCTATACTGCAACCAAGGTCTGATCTTTAACAATCATTGCTAGATCTAAGACCCTGCCACTTTAGCTTTCACATCCCAGATGGAAGTTCCACGTAACCTATAACGGTAAATCCAGGATACCCAGAAACTCCCACCTCGCATGAGTAGGAGCCAAAGTAGTTTTGCTACACACGTAATGTTCTAAGAGACTAGATCTTTCAACCCCAATACTCCTTCCCTGTTGGGCAATGCAAGGTTTTCCCACATCACTTTTGCCTTACAGGCTCCATCCCCAAACCAAAGAAAATCAGAACAAATCTTTTGAATGGACTTGGTGACTTTCTTTGGGATGATGAAAACAACCATCCAGTAATGAATAAGAGGGTAAAGCACTGATTCCACCAGTTGTGATTTCCCAACATATGATAGAGAATTAGCTCTCTTGAATTGAACACGCCAAGTAATTTAATCAATCAGTATTGCACATTCATTTCTCCAAAGCTTACCTGAGGATTGAAGAGCAATTTGCTCATATTGATGAGCCATCCACCAAAGAAGACTTCATATTTGTCTGGATTGCATTGGAGACCAGAAAGCTTATAAAAGCCATTCAATACATTCCTTACTCCATATAAAGCCCTGGATGAACCTTTGGTAAAGATCAGAAGGTCATCCGCGAAGAACAAATGTGTGAGCCCTAGATGCTTACATTGAGGATGAAAAAGGATCAAATTTGTAGTAGCTTCTTTATTGAGGAGACCTGTTAGAGGCTCTATATCAATAGTGAATAGGTAAGGGAAAAGAGAATCCCCATGCCTAACACTCCTTGCTACCCCAAAGAACCCAAAAAGACTACCATGGATGGAGATACAAGAAGAGGGAATCCCATCATTGTCATCACACATTTGAGATAATCCTAGTTCACCGAGTCAAAGGCTTTTTTAAAGTCCACCTTCACTGCACTTCGTTTGTGTGAATAAATACAACTTTTACATGTATAAGCACCGACTATCATGAATAACACAAAATCACGTGAACAAACTCCAAGATGCATGAACTAGGTATTGTGTCTCCTTTAGAGACAACATACCTTTTCTTTAGGGCTAATTCCACTAGGAAGCCCCAACTATCATAAAAGTGTCATTTGTGGCCTGAACTATTCAATATGATAAATATGGCCCGAACTTTGTGATTGTGTGTCATTTGTGTCCCGACAATTTTGTTTACCGTCAGACATAACGGTTGACCAAATGATTGTCAAAACGACATCAAACTGAAAATGACGTGGCTGCAACTTTATATCCACGTGGACCAACACATCAGATTGTGGGTAAGAAAATTAAAAGGGTAAAAAAAGTTTAACTTTATATCACCCATCGAGGTGATTGAACTCACCTTCTTTCCTCCCCACCACGATCTGAAAATTAGGTCTGCGATTGCGAAGGAACTATGACGATAGTTACGGTGGCGTTAGGTGCTGCGGCGAGGAACGATAGTTGTAGCGGCGCTTGGCAAAAAACTAGGTTCGATTGTTTTGAGGTGATGGCTTGAAGAAATTAGGGTGTTGGTCGACAGATTAGGGCTGGATTGAAATTAGGGCTTTTTTGTTTTCTTCATCATCATTGTTTTAGTGTTGTGGGTAATGTGGTGGTGGCGTCCAGGGATTTTGACATGTCTGCTAGGAGAGGTCAGCAAAGCAATTCCGAGTCAAGTTCCACCAACTCTCGTGTAGTGAAGTGTGTGCACAATATAGCAGCTATGGTTTATGTTTCTTGAACTTAGTTGAATCCGGGGAGGTCGTTCTATGCTGCCCCCATTGGAAGGTATTAGAACCCTTAGTTTTATAGGTAGGTTTTGGCTTCTGTCTTACCTTGACACTCATTATCGTATTGCAGGATGCACGTAGCAAATGTCGTTTTTTCGGTTGGGTTGATGGTCAGACTAATGATGAGGGAGCTTCTTGGTTTAATGGAGCATTGGGAGAGAGCCAATACATCAAGTCAAAATTTCTTCACTCAAACTGTATGTCGGAAATTTAAATGAGAGCTTGATATGTGCTCAAAGTAAGGCTAAACGAAGGAAGAAGGCAAAAAAATTGTTGTATGATGATTTAGTTAGGGTTAGGGAGGACAATGCTAGGTTGATTGCTGAGTTGAGGTTGGCTAAAACACGATTGTGGTTTGTGTTGCTCGTTTCAATTGGATTAGGGGTTGGTGTTGGGATTTTAGGGATGAGTTATTAGTGGTTGTCGTTTGTATTATTCGATTGAGTTGGATTAGTGGTCGTTTGTGTAAACCATTGTATCTGTTTATTTGACAATCTCTTTGTGTAATTTGACCATCGTATCTGTTTAGTTGACAATCTCTCTCTGTAACTTGAACATTGTATCACTTTATTTGACAACCCGTTTGATTATTTCACACGTTATTATGTTATTCTTGCTTATTTTCTCAACTGCAAAAGCCCTTAAAAAATCATCATTGACTAAAACGAACAACACAGGTTTACCTAAAAGTTGATTTTCAACAAACCCATTTTCAACATCCTTTGCTTAGCATTCTGAATACATAATTTTCAACATCCATTCTTGGACATAACACTGGTAGCCATTTCATGTTTGTCCCATGGTGGTAGACATAACTCTGTAGAAATGACTAACAAACGCATCCACCTCCAATCTCTTAAACAACACGCATGCAATGCCATGGTGGCAAGGTATCCCAGTCAAGCCCAAGTAACCACATGTGCATGAGTGCTCTTCCAGGTCTACTACATATGCCTTTCGGTCAACATCAACTTCAAATTTACCATTAAAGGTAGGGTCCACTGTGCACATATTGGCCAACTTCACGCCCACCCTAAGTTTCTTCTCTATCCTAGGGAAGAATACTCCTTGGACTCTGGCAATCTGCCTGTCCTTGTCTATGAACCTCACCATAAGCTTCTTACGAATACCCTCCCTCATATAAATGATCCTGTCTTCCCTTTCTTACAAAATATATCTGTTGAAGGTTTCGCAGATGTTTCTTACTACAGAATCACATCTTGACACGTTGCTCATAAAATCCTTGCAAAACGTCTCAGACACATTATCCAAGAATTCCCTAAGAAGACTCGGGTAAACTCCGCTATGTTGAATGCCTTCCATGACCTTCAGAACATTCTTGTATTCACGTACGTTAGTTGCATATACTGGTGTCCAGTATAAATCCCTATGCGCCTTCACTCTGTGGTTCACATTCCAGTTTTCAAACACATGGCATGCACACTTCCGTTGTGACGCATGGGGTAGGCAAGTTGCAACGGCCAGCACCAATCCCCACAAAGAACAAGAAAAACAAAAGCATTAGATGTTACTATTAAATGGAGCTATATTACCCTAAAAAATGCATAAAGTACCCACCTTCTATTGGTTCGAAATGATGGTCCAGCCACGACCATCAACCTTCCTCAGGTCTTGCTGCAGTATTGTGACAAACCACTTTCAGCTATCATTATTCTCCCCTTCTAAATTAGCCCAAGCGAGTGAAAACATCCTATTGTCTCCATCCTTCCCAATCTCACTCAATAGCATTCCTTATACTTCACATTTCATAAAACACCCTTCTAATGCAACAAATCCCTACTTCATTCCACTAAACCCAATGTAAATTTGCTTGAACAAAACACGACCGGGGATGGGAGATGGATCCACTTCCAAAACAAAGGTACCCTGATGTTCCTTAATCTTCAACTCAGCCACATAGGAACGAACCTTGTTAAACTCTTCCACTAAGTATCCGCTTAGCATAAGCCCTTACCCTATATTACTTCCTCTGAGAAATAACCACATTATGAGTCTGCCTTATCTCCGCTATCATGTGCTTCACTTTCCAGTTGGGCTCCCTCCTGAAACGCTCAAGATATTTCTTGACAGCCCACGTTGCATTTGCACCCTTCATTCTTACACTCCGTGGACAACTATGATACTTCCCAACATTCTTAATCATGAACACAGATCGACCATGTCAGCTAGCATAGACATACCACCCGCAAAAATGATGACATTCAACACGTATTTTAACTTCGAGCTCGTAGTCCATCAAAGTTCAGCACCAATTGCAATGAAATGTGGAGTAACTGCTTCCCTAAACTGTTTAGGGGAGTCAAATGTCAATCCCACCATCAAATCTAGCTTTGAATGTTCACAATTTGGGTCATAATGAGGCATATCTGCGAGTGGATCAACAACCTCCTCTTCATCGTGATTTCCACGAACATGCCGAGAGTCAACAGATGCCATCTAGGACAACTACACTACTGAATGGTGCGCATCGCCACCTTCGTCATTGCCTTCCTCTTCACTAGAACCTCCTCCACCATTTTTGGCAGCTTCATCACCACCAACACAGTCCTCCGAGTCAGATTCTTGCTCAACCTCCTCGGCGGTTGCATCGATGCGGGTACAAACATTCCTAGTTCTTCCTCTGATCCCTTGATTGGCAATGACAACAATGAACTCACTGTCTGATTTTCGAATATCATCATCCATATGGTGGATGATGTCTCGACATTGAGAGTGGTACCATCTTCTTCATCACCATCCTTAGCAGAGTCATCAGCCAAGTCTTCATTGTCCCTAACTTGAGTCTCCGTTGCCTCCATAAAAATAATAATGCTTCTACCTTGGACAACAGGGAGCATGTCCTGCATCACATCAGTGTCTGAATTAATCTCATGGAGTCCAGTCTCTATAGTGTCAAAGGGGGATATATACCACATCCGATCAACCCTTGCGTATTTAAGGTGTATAGTACCAATTAGTTGAAGTTCGAAGAAGGAGACATAGTCGATGTCCATGTCCACAGCCTCATATTTCCCATTTAAGTACCTAGGAGAACCTCCCGACAAGTCCATCTTGCCACCATGACGCACCACCAACTCTAGCAAATCAGCCATCCTGCATGGTTAGCAAAAAATTAAAATCCACAGCTAGAGGACCAATTCCAACTAATTAGTTTTCCCATTCTGCAATTTAATCCTCATATGTCCCATTCTTTACTTTAATCAGTTTTACTAAACTAATCATAGTCCAACTAACTTCAATTTTCTATTTCAATAGCCAATTCCAAGACATGCTAGAAGACACCTTTGCAGCCCACAATGAAACAAACCCAAGATTCCACTATGAATGGAATAACATCACAGAATGAAAAGACCAAAAATGTGATCTGGCCATTGAAGTCATACCTTTGTTTGGAAGCACCCGAAAGGGCAAACTCGTCTTCACAACAACTTCATGGTCCATGAAGTTTGACATTTTCCAGCGAATGTTCGACTTTTACTCCCCTCTGCTCCTTTATCCCCTGTACGATTCACACTATTGAATTTAGCCTTTCACAACCACATTTAATTTCCATTTACTCCCACCAACCATTCGCCCTTCATATACCTCCTACCCACCAAGAACAGAACATTACCTTCGCAAATAAAACACCAGAAATTTACGGGAAATAGAATTTCACATCGATGGCTGCTCCTACTTGATAAGGCATGCTGAACTCCCTCCACGACGACGATTCCACCACTCAGGAAGTTCCCATAGGTGATTCTCGTTGCTTGAGCTTGGTCAGGCGAAGAGGATGCAGCGAACGCCGGTGATAGATGCCTCCACCCGCAGTCCAGGTTTCCAACAACCTTCGTCCGTTGCGAATCGAGGAACCCGGTGCTAGAGCATATCAACATCGCCAAATCGCCGATTAGGGTTCTTATTGTTGATGGTGTTTCTCCCTCTACGAAGAAGAAAATGGAAGCCGATAATAATTCTAACTTACCCCGGTATGGGGTTTAACTTTTAACTCCTTTTTCCATTTTTATTAAATGACATTGATAGTTTGGTTAATAAACAAAGCCAAAGCCACGTCGGCCTCCACCTGAGCAGTGAACTGTCAAATTTTTAAGTTATAACGGTCAATTGCGGTCAACGATGACGGAAAAATAGTTCTGGTCATATTTGTCATATTGAATAGTTCAAGCCACAAATGACACTTTTATGATAGTTGGGGCTTCCTAGTGGAATTAGTCCTTTTCTTTATGACTCCTGCAATCTTGTTTTAACTACAACCTTGTTTTATCATACAACCTGGTATTCATTGAGTTATAAGATTATGAGTAGTGTTGGCTTGGAGACCATCAAAGTTCAAGTCTAGAAACAAGATAGACTTGGCAGCTAACAAGACGGTACCAAGCCAGCAAGACACGCTTGGTATCAAGCCTCCCAAAAACTAAGTATGAAAGTATGGAACATGGTACCAAGTTGGCTAATGAGGCTTTAAAAAATAAGTATAGAGATCAAGTTGATAGGGCCCAATAAGGCGATGACAATGTGGGCATTAGGCTGTCAAGGTACCAACTTGACGAGCTCTAATAAACAAAAGTACGGAGACCACCTGTGGTAGCCACTCGGTAGGGTACCAAGCCGGTAGGCAGTGTCAAGTTAATTACACAAGATTGGTATCTAGCTCATTGGGTAAGGGGTATACGACAATCATTATTCTCAAGATTAGGTATGGAACCTTGATGGTCGAGACTTGTCAGCCAAGGTACTGAGATGGCAATGTATCAACTTGTTCAGGACTTGGTGTAGAGCCCCTTAGGGAGCCATATGGAGACTAAGTCATTAAGACAGGCTTGGTGTCCTTCTAACAAGGTACCAATCCGGCAGAGAAGCATGGTACCAACTTGAGCGGTCGACATCACTGGCTTGATAGTAGGGGGTATCAAGCTGGCGAGACGACAAGGTTTCAAGTTGATTACATGAGATTGGTGGCAAATCAGAAGGTATCAAGCTGAGACGAAGATGGTAATAAGTCGACAACAAGTGAGTTAAGTATGGAATCATCAGGGCCATCAAGGTTGTCAAGGAGGCCCGATGGGAGAGCCAATGTGATTGAGACAATGTGAGGAGACCTCAACCCCATCAGGTCAGGACGAGGCTAGAGGCCATCAAACTGAGACCAACTATCACCAAGGTGGGAATGAGGACCACGAGGTGGTTGGAGTAGCAAGCTAGCTAGGGGTTACCAGGGCGGTTACACCTGATGGATATAAATATGAGATACGAAGACTGGAAAAAGGGTCCCACAACTAAACATTTGACACCTCATATCAAACTTTACCTTTTCTCTGCAATGTAGCCATAACTTTTAGTTTCAGGAGCTCTCACTGAATCTCCATAGGAAAAGAGTAACGTAACTTAGCTTGTTCTCGGAAAATCATCAAAAACATTAAACACTCTTGTTCGAACATTGTTCAGAGATGCGTGAATCGTGTTTAGAGTCATTTTTCAAAAAATCAAAGGTGCATTTATTGAAATCAAACTTCTTTGCCTGAAAAACTAACACACATATGTATTATAACCGATGCCATGTGTCTTACTACACAGACGTTATACGCATGTACTAGACTCCAAAATAAGCCTTGAGAGGAGACTCGACTGATTTGCCAATCTCTTTGGACCTTAGTTTAAGGTAGTCAATGTAGTCGTAGGGCTTAAACAACATGGGGTGTTCTTCGTCCACCAGCTCCTTTGGCGCTTTTACCACATAACCTTGCTTTGGGATTGCAAACAAACCAGCCGATAACCGGGCCTTGTGCCCTCTTATCATCACCCTGTGGTACGGACACTGCAATCGACCATTCGTCCATGCCTGCAATATTACAACAACCATTTGGTTTAGTGTGAACCGAAATACTGTACTTATAAGCAAGGATTGAAAACAATGGCGAATCTACAAACTTCTTCAAGGGTATTTAATGTAGACCAAAATCTTTAAGAGCTGTCAAATAATCTTCAATTCAAATACTACCATCATTAAAATAAAATTTTACACAAACTTTTAATCCAAAATTTTGATATAAGGGCTGTCAATTGTCAATGCATACATTCACTAGGGTCCGCCCTTGGTTAAAAAACTGTAGGTTCGACCAGAAAAACCGCCAATCGATGACTAAATTAGTAGACGGTATTTAGTGATATGAAAAGGTTGAACCACGGTTAAACCATGATTTCAGCAAAAAAATATCTCAATTTTTTTTATTAAGGGGTCGTTTGCTTGTAGGATTTTGATGAGTGATTTTGGGAGGTTGGATTAATGATCAAATCCATGTTTGTTGAGCTCGGCCTAAATACGTGGGGCCCACAATGTATGATTTTTTGGCTCAAAATCATGGACCCACGGAGTATAAAATATCACCCCATGAGCTAGAATTTTGAGAGTTGTCAAAATTCGTGGACCCAACTAGTTATGAAATGACCCAAATATCCTTAAAAAATAAAAAGTATAAGAAAAACTCATCATTTAACCCACAAATCCAAGTTAGTAAAGTTCATTTAGAAAACCAATAAGCAAACATGCAATTTTTAAAATTCAACATAATCCTTCAATCCCAAAATTGAAGATTTTACTAAAATCCTTCATTTTTTAAAATCACATAAGCAAACAACTTCTAACTTTTTAATGCAACTTCTAATACGGTTTTATAATCATTGCTTATAATACTTGTTTAAGAATTGAGAGAACTTACATTAAGAGATTCACCGACGAGTACCAGAAAGCACTGAGGAGCGAATTTGACACTGATCCATTCACCATCTCTGGTTTGGACATCAAGCCCGTCAACATGATTTTGGTGCAAGATCGTGAGTGTGTTTTGATCCACATGGGCCTTAAGCCCAACCTTTTTCTCCTGGACGGTTTGGGGCTCTCTGTAGTGAGTCAACCTCAGTTGATAACATGTTGAGTTCAACTGCTCTTCCATGTACTTCTTCTCAACACCCAAGCTCTCCACTAACATCCTTCTTATTGCCTGATCCAGTTCTGACAACTTCTTTGAGAATGACAGCACAATTTCGCTGTCAATTTTCGGGTAAAAGAAGTAATTGTCAAGAACCAGTTAATGTCAATAACTTACTACGGAGAAAACAGAATTTGACTCGCGATTTTTGCTTACCTAAACTTGGCGTGACCACTTGGCCACATGACGTTAGTGAAGGACTGAACCCCATGATCGGTTTCAGGGTCATCAATTCCCAAGCTTTCGTACAAGGGCATCACCGGCGAGGATCCGATGTAGCCATGGAGAGGTTTGTCGGAGACATTCCGCCGCTTGGCTTCCACCGGCAGGCTGAAAACCTCCTCCATGGCAGCATCCATCGCCTGCCGAAGCTGCTGTGGCAGATCCCCGTACGTCGCCTGAAAGCAGCCGTATTCCTGGACAGCTTCCCAGACTTGCAACCTCACCATGTTCCAGCGGCTGGCATCAGTAGGAGCTTTCAAGTCCACGTCGGAGAAATCTATGGTTGGGATTCGAACAGAGGTGGTTTCCTGATGATCATCAAAACCCATGTTGCTGTAGTTTGTTGAGTTGTCTGAGATCAGATGTTATCTCTTAATTAGTTTATATCAGGAGTTGAGACTTGGTCTTCAAGCTAGTGATGTTTGATTATGATGATTTGTACGGTTGAAAGTAAGTTAATGTTGATTATGTTTCTTGTCACTATCTTCTATAACCCATCTCCGTACCTTTCTATCTTTCTTTATGAATTAGATAAGATTCAAACAAATTGATACAAATCACAAATGAGAGGTTCAATTAAGTTAATAACTTATAATTAATAGTTGGTTTAAGTATCTAATTAATTGGATTACAACAAATTAAAGATTTGAGCTAGCAGGGGCTCTCTCAACCCCGGGTGGTTTTGAATGAAAGGTAGGGGTGCGTTTGCATCCATTTAATAAAAAAAAGAAGATCTGAGCTAGCAAATCGGATTAGAAGCAATGGTGATGCATTGTTGTTTGATTGTTATAAGAACCGAAACGGATCAACGACTAGACAGTAGAATTGTCAAACCAGTTATGATAGCGGTTCGGTTCAATTCTTGGACGGTTATTGATGGATCAAACAATTTTTCACGGTTCAACATAAAATCAAATTAACCACCACGGTTATTGATGGATCAAACCTAAGACTTTACATGTAAATTTTTAATTATAACGCTAAACAGACTTACGTTAAGTCAACAAAGATACAATCATTCTTAATACGATTAAAATCGCATGATCCTAAAACATCTATTAATCAATAAGATACAATATAATATTTTCCAAATCATTAGTTTCTAACTTTGATACATCTACTAAGTAATACTTAACTAACATAATTATCTTGTTAATAAGAGGGAAAAGTGAAAGAATGAAGGGAGAATTTACAAAAAGGAATTAAATTTGGATTTCGGTGGTCACTCAATTGCATTTCTATTATACATTGTATTAAATTACCTTTACTATCATTGATAAGTTTCAATTTTATCCATGTATAATTTATATGTGAAGAAATATTCTTGGTTGGGTGAGTATAGGTATGGGTATGGGGTGGTCGAAGTTAAAACCATACTCGCCCCATACCCATCAAATTTTTTGTGGATTTTACCCATTCTCACCCCATACCCAGTCGAGCAATGTAGTCAAAAGCGCGTTTTTACGTAAAAGCATTTTAGTGATCTAGAAGCGTAAAATCGTAAGCTTTTAAGTATTGAATGTTTTATCAAGTATTGAATGTTTTATCTAGAAGCGTAAAATCATTTTCATTAGTCACAATTAATGATGTGTACAAATCAAAATCAAACTAAACCACCGCGTTACTTTTATCAAGTATTGAATGTTTTATGTCCTTCATTTTCAATTCACTCACATTCAAACTATGGTTCATGAAACCGTATCGTACCAACGGTTCAACCACAAAATACAAGTATTCTAGGTTAAACTGATAAGCAATATTTAACGATACTAAAGATTGAATCATGGTTTTGCCATAAAATACCTTATCACTAGGTACATTTTTCACGAACCATGCTTCTAACCAAACGAGACAATAACTAGGACGAATTGTTTCTCAATAATACACAAGTCAACCTGTGCACACCTAATCATCATGCATTAACATCATAAGAACATATTTACAGAGCACATCAAAGTAAGCACAAATGCAGAATCACTGCAATTTTTGATTTCATACACCAAAATAATCCTTAAGAGAAGGCACAACTGCCTTGTCCACATCAGCAAACCTTAGCTTCAGGTACTCAGCATAATCAAAAGGCCTAAACAACAGAGGCCGATTCTCATCAACCAACTCCTCTGGAGCTTTCACGATGTGCCCATCCCTTGGAACTGAGAACAATCCAGCAGAACACCTCGCTTTATGATGATCCCCTCCTGTCATCACAACTCCATGTAACGGCGAATGCAATCGACCATTCGTCCATGCCCGAAAAGATTCCCCGATTACAACATAGAAAGACGAATCAGGAGCGAAATTCGCAGGGAGCCACAGCCCTCCATCTCTGGTCTGCACTTCGAGCCCGTCGATATCGTTCTGGTGGAAGATGCTGACGATGTTCTTGTCGGTGTGAGGCTTCATACTGATAGTCCTGTCGATTGTTTCAGGGGATTCGTACCTCATCATCCTGAAGATGTAGTAAGTTGAGCTTATATGCTGTTCCAGGTACTTGTCGACTCCGATGCTCTCTAGGATCATCCTCCTCACCAATCGATCGAGTTTCGAGATTTCATCGCAGAAGGAATGCAATGTTTTGCTTCGGCCAGGATAATAAGAGTCAGTGAATTGTTGAAAGCTGAAATTAATTACACAACTTTACAGAATGAAAGAAAGGAAGAAACCTGAAGTTTGTGTTTCCTTCAGGCCACAGGGCGTTTGTCAGCTTTTCGATCCTGGAGAAGGTTTCAGGATGATCAACACCCAAGCTCTCGAACCGTGGGTTGACATTCGATGAAGCGAAGTAGCCATGGAAAGGCTTCTCCGAAACGTTTCTTTGCTTTGCGTCCAGAGGCAGCTCGAAAACTTCACCCAGCGATCGGTTGATGGCTGGGTGAAGTCCGTCAGGAAATTTCCTGACCACAGCCTGAAAGCAGCCGTATTCTTCAGCTGCTTTCAAGACCAGTGATCTCGTGGATTCCCATTCAGGCGTGCCTGGTTTGAGATCGAAAGTTGAGAAATCTATGACTGGAAGATTATCATCTCTTGATCCCATCTCTGAGCTCTCTTTCTCGGAATTTCTCTGTTCTACTTGGTACAACATATATGGTCTAATCTAACTACCAAGAAGGTCATCATCATGTCCTGTTCATGACATCAATTTTGCAGCAAAAGCATCCCAATCAAGAGCAGTTGACAAAATGTTCTTATTTTTTATTGAGCTAAAGGCCAAACTTAGGGTACACTACACCATTATCTCATATTTTCTCTCATTATCTACAAAGAGGCCATGAAAACACAGACATATAATAGTACTGCTACTACTTATTTGAAACAAAGGGCTGCATTATAGTAGTTCTGCTACTTCTTGTGACATAACTTCCTCTGCATTCGCATCCGTCGATCCTCAAATGCTCTTCCCTGTTGGCATGATGCGCACCGTGAACCCGACGTTTTGTAGGGTTCACCATTTTAGCTTTGCAGGGAAGTACTGCAACAGCCATAACATATGAAAGTAAAGGACTTAGCAATATAGACCATGTTTTGACAGGACAAGAAGGATTAATGTAGGCCAAAACTAATGTACCTTCTCAATGAGAGATAGATAGTATGGCTTGACCTTCTCAACATCGATTCGGACTTTGCTCTTGCTGTAAAGATCATACTTGCTACAAATCCAGGAACACCAAAAGGGTTACTGTCGATTCTGTTTAATTACACATGATTAGGAAGTGAGGAAAAAAAGATGGTTTAGATACTTGAAGACTTGGAGCCACTTGAGGTCTTCAACATCCTGTTCATTCATTAGGTGCTTGTATGCTTCTGATCTATGTAATGCTGCAATGAAATCGCGACGAGGCCACCATAGTTAATCTCCTTTCTTAAGTGGAAATTAGATTCCGCGTCTCGAGAGATTGATCATCCTGTAAAGCCAACTTACCATAGAATGAATGGTATCTGATGATGAACAGAGCAGCTGATGGAAGGGTTGTCTTGTTCTCCTTAGCAACAAGGTACATGTAATCGTCGTGTCCCCACGACATCATGACACTGTCGAGTCCACATCCTGGGGAGTAAGCTCCGTACTCGGTGTTGTAATCAGGATTATAGTAATCAGGATTCTCCTTAAAATACTGAACAAAAGGACAGAAAGAAAGCAAAAATCAGTAACATGAAACTTTGATTAAAAGCTGAATTATAACTTGGACTTATAAGACCTTGTGATGAACAATGGATTCGTCGAAGGCGCATCCAACAGGGTATGTATCTCCCACCACAGCCCACTGTGGTAGCTCACCGAAGCTAGGCAGCAGCAGAACCTTCCCAAGATCTGCTTATTTTTTTCGGCGGGGAAATAACACTAGTCAATAAAAAACTACAATGACTTGTCGTCATCAAATGTGACTATGTGAATCTCGACCGTTACCGTGAATGAGGCCGGTCAAGTGGAGCCAGTCCTCGTCGGGATAGTCTTTCCTGATGGCTTCGGCAGTCTGGAGGAGATGCTCGATCTGTGGCTCGTCCAGGTCAGGATCGCTCTCGTCGACGACATCGTTTAGAAGCTCGCAGCACTCCCATATGCTCATTTCGACCCTGTTCAATTGGCCATACTCTTGTCTCATCCTCTTGACGAAGTCGTAGGTTTGGTTGATGTGATTGGTCCTGTAGAAATTCTCCACTCCTGGCTGTCTGTCACCTTCAGCTTCATAATCTCTGTTTCGGACAATGCAGGATTAGATGGGCCGGTCTAGAAACTAAGCTGGGCCTTCCAGACCCAACCCGTAAATGGGCTTCTAATTGATAATTACTGCTCTTTTTTTTTTAATAATGAGATAGAGACTGAAATGTAGATATTTAGCTGGGTTTTTTGTTTATTTATAAATTGATGATATGTGAAAGTGAGGTAGTTGGAAGGATCTGTACAGCAACAGATCTGAACTTGACCGATGAAATCAGATTCTTGCTTCTACTTTCTAGCTATAATAACAACAATAATGATTATTGATTGCCCATTGTGAGCCACAAACAGAAATCATATAACAAATCACCAGAGAGAGAGGGAAAAGGTACGGCTAATTCGTGACCAGCCAATCAGGGCGCTGTAAAAATTGGGTAGATTCGATCTATTGTTTTGAAATTTCTTGAAAAGTAAAAAGGGGAAGAAAAAATAGTAGCCACCTAAATGTCTGGCCGAAAGAGTTGATGTTTGGCACCACAAATCCGCCATCTAGCACCAACTCTTCCTCCTCTGCACCGTTCTTCTCCTCCACTTCCGCCACTGCAAATCCGCCGCACAAGATCCAACATTACCACCAACACACAAATTCCTATCTAACCAGAATCAATGGAAAATAGATAACAAATAAGTTAAAAAAAAAAAAAAGTACCAACGTCAGGCTGATGGATGAGGATGGTCATGGCGACGGGAAAACGATCGACTCTGCCGGTGAAAGGGAAGAGAGACAGAGAATTTAGTGAGAAGAAGGAGGAGGAGAAGGCACAAGAATAATGAAGGAAAGGAGAGATGGTATTTATATGTGGCCGGAGAGTCCTTCCCCTGAGATTTCGCAGGCTGGGGAGTCCTTCCCCTGAAATTCTCCAAAACTTGTTTTCCTTTCGTCTCTTTCTTTTCTTTACTTACCCAACAATTTCCTTCCATCAGTATAGCGCAGCTGTCCACTTCCTTTTATCATTATTTATTCATTCAATACAATCTCCCATCCCAACTCTCATTGTACATATAAAAAGAAATCTGAACGGGACAGGCATTGATTGATGGGAGTTTCGGATTGCAGACCAGGAGCTGTAAGTCAATCGAGTGGCAAGTCGCCAACACAAGATGATGATGATGATGATGATGAGCTTGCGCGCTGAGTAATGTAATATTTGAGATGAGACGACACTTGGGTTTCAGTGAAAAATGGTAAACAAATACGAACTATCGGCCAAAAGCATGCTATAATCGACTAACAATCACCTTGTAGCTTCGTCCCTGCTCTACCATTACTTCTGTACTCGGGATTTCACCCAATGCTAGTCCTCTGTGACATCAATTCTATTCATTGCACGAAAACAATACTTGCACAGGTCATTGAAAAATGTAACGAATGTACATCGATGAAAGATGTAAACGAACGAACGTACAAGGTAAAAAAAAAGTTATATTTATATCACAAAACTAGTAGTCCTTTGTCGGTAGATATACCTCCAAGACTCCAATTAATAACAAAACGTGTTGAAAGTTCATATTCGAATCACCATACACAAATACATAGGGCCCATTTGAATCCGAAATTTATGTGACAATGTTTACCACAATTCCTCAATCTACCGGATTTCAACACAATTTGGAAGCATAAGGAATTTCGAGATTAGGGATTTGAAAAACCCTGCAATTGAGGGTGTTTGAAATAGCTCATGCTCATCAGCTGTTCTGAAATCACTCGTCATTTTTTGTTTAGTTTTTTTTTCTTCAATCACTAAACCCTCCATCACCAACCTTCTTACTTCTTCAAAACCCTGCCGACGATGTGATCTCGACTCACCGCCGACTCCACCCTTCCATTGAGCGCTCTTTCGTGCAAAACCCATCAATCCGAAACTTAGCAACAACCAGACCCTCCGTCTCCCGGCTTTGTCCTCCGCTCTGTTCCTCCTCCTCCCCATCTCTAGTCGATTGGACTCCCTCTCTTGCGCCGCAGTTTCTCTACTAGAACGTCCTCTTCCATGACAATTAAACTCTCATGCGTTGCTTCCTTCGTTGTCGCCAATTGGACTCCACCTAGCTCCACCATGATTAGGGTAACTTAAACTAGATCATGTCGATTGCTCCATTCCATCAAAAGAGAAATCTTGAACATATTCTTCACTCCCGACCAATTCTCTTTCATCGACTAGACATGAAACTCAGAAGAGGAAAAGAAGCCTCATGCGATGAATCTTTAATCATTCGATTATCTTTCATCAATGGAGATGGTAGCGCTAGGTCGACGACAATTCTGGAGTTCGGATTCTCAAATTGGGGTTTTTTATTTGCTTATTTCCCTGTGTCACCGTTGATTATGGGTTAATTCTTGTTTGGAATTTTGGTGGATTGGAAAGGTGAGAAAGATGGAAGAAGAATTGGGAAGAAAATTTTTGGTTCCGGAGTTTCCAGAATTGTTCGACGGTAAATGGATGAAACGGTATAGGGGAAGGAAGAAGATGAGGATGAAAATGTAAATTTGAAATTTTATGTTAAAATCTTGTGTTTCAATGCAAACGAGTTATTTCAGCCAAATCTTACATACAAAAAACTCTGATATTTTAAACGAGGGACTTAAAGTTCTATTATATCACAAAACTAGTTGTCCTTTGTCGGTAGATATACCTCCAATTGATAACAATACGTGCTGAAAGTTCACGTTCCAATCACAGTACACTAATGCCTATGGCTTATTTGGTTCAGGAATTTTTGTGGGAGATTTTACCGCAATCCCTTTGTTTGTAGGATTTCAACACAATAACACGTTTGGGGACATATTTTTGAAAGGGATTTCAAAAATCTGCACCACCAACAGTCTTCTTTAAAACCCAGGTAGTCGACGAAGCGAGCTCAACTCACTGCCGACTCCTCCTTCCATTGAACCCTCTTTCGTCCAAACCCCATTGATCCAAAACTCAACAAAAACCATACTCTCTATCTCCAAGCCTTGTCCTCCACTCTATTCCTCCTTATCCTCTCTCATCGATTGGAACCCCTGCGTTGTCATTGTTTCCCTGCTCGAACGTCCTCCTCCGTGACTACTAAACTCTCATTCGTTGCTTCCTTCACCGTCATCGATTGGACTCCACCCCTAGGGATGGATCATTGGGATGAGGGTTTTTTGTGCATGATTTTGCCACAATCCCACAGAAGTTGGGGTTCAATGACATTGTTTCTTAATAACAGTTTGGCTGTAAAAAGTAGGGATTGTGAAAATGAGGAATTTTAAACCCCAAATATGTGGGTTTTCAAAATAGCTTCCTCCCCTCTTAAGCTATTTTGAAATCCAACGTTTTAGTTTTTATATTTCCTAAACAACCCTTTCTTCTTCCTTCAATCTCCCTCCTTCCTTCATCTTCTTCCTTCGACATCTTCTACCTCTCTGTCACTCTCTCCCCTCCAATCATCACTATCACCACCAACGCATGCTCTCTCCCCCTCCAATCATCAAACTATGTTCCTAGTAAGCAATCAACAAAACATCACGTTCAAGGCGCCGCTGGCATACTGGAATTAAGAACATTATTAATTTCATTACATTCCATTACAAGCCTCTCCATAGCCTCGGATGAAACTAAAATTTATCATCCTCTTCAGATCTCACATTCAAAGATGGATATATCGATGACCATATCTGGATTTGCTACAATGATTGATTCACTAGAGTTGATTTCGATGACGAGTCAATGATGTCATGACGACAACAATAGTAGAGAGAAAAATTTGTCTCTTGCAATCTTCAAAGCTCCTCCTCCCAGCCACATCTGCCCGTCGGTGGAGAGACTCGTCGACCTTCGCGTGCTGAGGATTTGATGGAGAGAGATTTGCTTGGGTCATGGTTCTGGATCAATTGTCAACTAGGGATTGGGATAATCGATCGCGTAGATTAAGGATTGGGATTTGATCGCTGATAGTTGTTTGTCTGTGTCATGGTTCTTGTCGGGCCGAAGATAATGTTCGTGGTGGTGGTTCTAGGTTTGTTCTCCCTTTCTTACTCCTGTTGTCTCTATTGTCTTTGTTGAAGACAAACGAGGAACAAGCAATAAAGGGAAAAACTGAACTTCAAATTATTGTATTGAATACATACATCCATAAACAAACATGGTTTTTTGTTTAAATCCCACATACAAATTACATTGACTTTTTAACGAGGGATTTGAGCCCAGTTCCTCATAAATTCTCCATAATCCAATAGCTCATCCAAATGAAATATTGTAATTCTAAGTAATAGAGACCTACAATTCATGAGCTATGCATGCTCTTTTCCCAAACGACAACAATGAAAGCTGTTATTGCTCTTTCAAATTTTATTGTTTATTATGTCTCAAACTATTCGTAATATGAAGAGCTTGATTTGGATTAACATACATATATAAATGAGTGATAAGAATTAGGGAAAGATCACTTCACTTTAAAAAACCTAAACAACTACAAAATAGGGCTTAGTTGAAGGTACACCTCTCGGTTTCAACATAGAGATCCCAGGGTGGACTTCGAATTTCTCTCGCAAATTAATAGCATGTAAGAAAAAAAAAACTTAAACAACTTTGTTCTTGTGGAACTAGAGCCTAGTTAGGGTTTCTATATACTTTCCTTTGCTTCACTCTTCTTCTTCCTCCTCCTTTTTTTGTGTTCTTAGCTTCTACCAATAATGAAAGACTCTACATCACCACTGTTATATGGAAGCAACAACTAAAAAATTTGAATGACAACATATCTAGAAACAATAAATCTGACACAAGAAACCCAAATGATTACCCATTTTCTTATCCTTTCTACCTCCACATACCTAATAGGACACATATTGGTTACTCAGAAGCTCAATCCTAAAATCTAAAAAGCCTAGAGTACAAAAACATTGGAAGCTCATGATAATAGACATAATATAACTTCTCGAACCTTTTCCCGACGAAGATATTGTCCGCTTTGTATCCAGACCCTCACGGTTTTTAGTTTTGGGTGCATATCAAGGTCACCCATCCTTGCAGTGCTTCACGCTGAGCACGTTTAACTTCGGAGTTCTCACAAGAACTCCTCCATTTCAACCCAAAACACTTCTTGTCGGTTAAGGCCGGTTTCCTACTTATAAATTATGAATCTCTCTTGTGCTTTGTCGATGTGGAATTTGCCTAAGGTGTTACACAAAACATCCCAAAGGTAGAAGAAGAAGATTCCCTAGAATGACAATGGACAAGACGCACACTATGGTGATGATTTGGATTCTACACTAAGTTGATGAATTTTGACAAGGGTGTGAGAAGCCTAAAGACTGCAACTAAGGATGGAAAACTTTGAAACTCATATACGCTCTAGGAGAATTTGGTTAGAATGATATAGTAGCAACAACGGCTATGTAACCTCAATCAATGCAATAAATCTTTGTTTAAATATCACACCCGCCTAATCACCATGTGAGAAGAGATGGAAAAACTATCAAGTAAACCCTCATCGTACCTGTACTTCCACTATTCATTGGGACAGTTTTACATAACATATCCAAGACTAATCAGAAGACCAATGTGATTGTGCACTTTCTTAGAGGCTTGACTGAGAATTACCATATTCCCATATCTCAAATCCGTTTTAGTGATATATTGCAAAAAATGGACAAACTCTTTTATAGGATGTCACAAAGTGAAAGGTAACTGTATGGAAGTAACCTTGACAACAGCAACATAATGGTGAAATTTATACAAGCATCATGCAGTCTCTAGATCTCAAAGCCCCTGATCAACCAAATGCTAGAAATCAAAAGAGTGGCAACACAACAAGTGTTCCGGGAGGAATTACTGGGGCATAGGCAAGGGCGGGGTAGATTTGGTAGACAAATGCCATATTTCCCAACTGTATAATGAAAGGTCATATAAAAAAAGACTTGTTATCATAAATATGAGGCACACGTGCAACACCAACTTTTTTCAGACATGCAAATACAATTTCGGGACAAGAGGTTAATGGAAATCTCACCATAAGAATACAAAAATATGAAATTCTTATGAATTTTCTAAAGGATACTCCATTTACAATTGGAAGACCGTCTTTGACTGGTAAGAACATCCTACCACCTCCTCACTTATAAGTTTCCTTTAACAATAAGTGTTTTAAACATTCATCTTATAAATTTGCTAATGTTGGTCAGTGGACGTAGAGCATTTGGATGAAGTTGGTTAGTGGAGTTAGACTAGTCACCACTACTACGGATTATAAAGTTCATCTTGGTAGAAATTATAGGAGTAAATTTTTGGACGTTATAGCTTACAAAAGCCTTGTTGGTAAGCTCATTTATCTCGTCAAAATTATTCTTAATATACGTTTTGCTAATCAACAAGTTAGAACGTTACTG